GAGAGAGACAGAGAGAGACAGAGACAGAGACAGAGACACAGAGATACAGAGACAGAGACAGAAAAGAAAGACAGAGAGACAAGCTTTCCTATCTCCCAGGCCAAACTTAAAGTCACTATATAGCTAAGGGTATCCTTAAACTTTTTATCTGACTGACTCCTACGTACTGAGATTATAGATATGCATTACCGAATTTACTTTATATTGTTCCAATGACCAAAACTCGGGGCTTTGTAAATTCTAGACAAGTACTCTACGAACTGAGCTACAACTCTACCCCTCCTGTATCCTTAGGGCTGCAACTCCTCCATAAATTTGTGATCCTACTTATCCAACCTAGTTCCCACTATGTTCTGTACCATTCAAGGTTAAGCTCTTCCCTCCTCCTGACCTATTGATTCCTCATCAAACCCCATCAATTCTGATAATTTTCATGGGAAAGATCATATCCCACCTTCACTGATAATTCATTATACTTCATTTGCTCCATATTTTCTTGCCACAATGTCTGAACTGAATTTTTCATCACCAGAATTTCTGGTTGTTAACAACAATTAGTGTTTGACTGTTTGACAAGTAGTAGGTGTTCAACTCAAAGTATGAGCGAATAAATGAATAAATGAAGATATGAAACAATGGTATATAAGAATGTACCTCCTTTTTGAGAGAGGTGACATGTGTCATTTGTTTGAAAGTTTGCGTTCCATAATGTGATAGTCCTAACCCTGAAGTGATCACAGTAGAACTTACCTTTAGGGCTATCAAATGATGTAGAAGCCAGAGGGCCCTTTCCCAGGCCTGCTGCATCTCCATGTGTAACTCCATCAGGCATCTCTGTGTAGGACTGTATGCCATCTTCTGTTTCTAAAGATGAGAGTTAGGTAGAAAATAGGTAAGTATCTCTTCCAGGAAGACTGAACTGTCTAAAGAGATCACTTCATTGAGTACATTTCAGTCTTTTTCTAGAGTCTATGACAGTGGCTTTGAGACACAGGATGAGTAGCTAGTCAGCTTCCTGTAAATGTATCAATTTGTCCATATGTCTATGTGCAGATCTGTACATGGCATAATGAATTGGTCTAGATAATAAAAGCCTGTAGTAAGATATAGAGAAAAATGCTGAAAGATCAGAGAAAAGGAGCAAGCACTGCCACATCTTACCTCCTTAACATCACAGCAGGCAAGAGAGCAAGTAAGTTCCTGTTACTCCCTGGTTATATACTGTTTCTGCCCAGCTAGCTCACTTCCTGTCTGTACAGACCTCCAGACCTCTGTGGTTAGCTAGTGGCAAGCTCCATTTTCTGACATTCAGACAGACTTTATTTGTACAATTAAGATATCACCACACAGATCCGATGGCCTTACCTTTCTTTTAGCTTTGCTTTCTACTCTCAATCTTTATTTTTCTTTTTCTCTTATTCCCTCTCTTCCTTCTCTCCCTCCCACTCTTCCCTCCCTCTCTCCTTCTTTCCTTCCTCCTTTCTTACTTTCTTTTGTAAAGGAGGATCTCATGAGGACCATACAGGCTTCAAACTTGATACACATCTGAGAATGACCTTGAATTTCTGCTCCTCCTGTATCCAAGTTCCTGAGTACTTGGAATACAAGTGTATGCCACCATGCCTACCTTATGCAATGCTGGAGTGGAACCAGTTGTGCATGGAAAGCAGCTCACTACCAAATAAATCGAATCCCACCTATTACTTGCTGTCTGACCTCTTTTTCTTCTATATTTACTTAAATATGTCCTTATCTTTTTATTTGATTTCTCTTCAGAGTATGAATGAACTACAAATACAAGAAGAACCAAAGTAAAGTATGGAGTTATAGAGCTGAAATCCAAACACTTAGTATGTTGAGGCAGAAGAATCATGAGTTTGAGGCCCACAGGAGATATATAAAGACAATGTATAAAGTAAATCAATGATTTCAAATATCTACCTTTCATATGAGTTGTTCCAACTATCTATGTAGGGATTCAAACACACTTCCTCTGGAGAATACCTAATAAACTAGTACTGTTGCTGGGGGACATTTTTAGACTTGTGTCACAAATGAAATCTGATAGAAAATTTAATTCTCTTACAATGATAATATCCTTAAAAGCTCTTCTAGTGTATTTAATGCTTTCTGTGTCCCTCCCACATCATCAGGTACTTTATTCCTTCAGTTTTCATGATCACATGTTTTTCCTTCTTACCTTCTGACTCTGGTCTAATTCTAGTAGCATGTTGAACTCAAAGGTAGAAACTCTACTTTTAGTCAGGTCTAGTGGTACCATAATGCCTATGATCTCTGCTGTATGGGAGGCTATGGCAGGATTGTTTCAAATTCAAGTTCAGCATAATTGACAGACTAAGTTCCAGGCTAGCCAGGGCCTCCCTATGTATATATATATATATATATATATATATACCCAAAACAAACCAAAGCAGTATCTCTCCCTTTTATCTCCATGTAACTTTGGCTGAAGTCTACTCCTCTATGATTCACTTTATTGCAGCTTAGCTTCTCTGTAGTATTTGACAAAGCTTACAATTTCTCTCTAAAATCTTGTCTTCGTATGACTACTGTAATGCCAGAATCTCTTGTATTGTCTGCTAGCTTTTTGACTGCCCCTATTTAAATTAATGACTAAAAGCATAAATTCCTACTCCTGGTTGGTCTGACTTATTTTTTTGTTTGGGGGTGTGCTGTGATTCAAACATATGGCATTATGAATGCTAGGTGAATTGTTCTAGCACTAAGTTATACCCCTTCCTCTTTGATTTTTCAGACAGGGCCTCACTAACTCTGGTTCTCTTTGAAGACAGGATCTTTTGCCTCGGTTTTCTCACATTCTAGGGTGACAGACATGCACCAAGCACATATGAGTTAGTTATTAGCTTACTTCTGTCACTTATGTGCTTTTTGATAGTGAGAAAATTATATCAAATTTTCTATGTATCTCAACTTCATTACCCACAAAATAATATTACAATAAAGATGTAAAACATTTGTGAAACAATGTGAAATAATTGCTGTATATGCCTAATTGTCATTATCACCACTATTAATTATCATTAACAATCACACTAGAACATCTATTATATTGTAGAAATTACTCATAGGCTTGCTTGTTTTCTATGTTTTGCCTATATCTAGCTCAGTGTTTGGTGTTAGCAGCTCAACCAATGTTTGCTAAAGAACATTCTAGTATGAAGGTAGAGGGTATAGGCTATCTGTATTACACTTGCCTCACATGTGCAAGGTCCTAGGTCCCATGACTTGTAACTCACAAAACAGGATTCATACTTTTAAATAGTTGGATGATTTTTTGTTTGTTTTTTGAGACAGGGTTTCTCTGTGTAGCTTTGGAGCCTATCCTGGCACTCGCTCTGGAGACCAGGCCAGCCTCAAACTCACAGAGATCTGCCTGCCTCTGCCTCCCTAGTGCTGGGATTAAAGGCGTGCACCACCAATGCCTGGCAGTTGGATGAATTTGAAAATGTACAGTATATACAATAGAGTTTTACTCAGCAATAATTTCTAGGAACTAGATACAATCAAGTTAAACAATATTAGGCAGACAGAAAAATAAATATCATAGACTTTATCTTATGTGGAAACATATAAAATCCCTAAAAGCAGAAAACTGACTACAAATGATGTAGAAGGAATTTAGAAGATAGAGAAGAAAGTGAGAAGAGTTCATAGTAGGAAGTGGAATGATGAGAATGTTGTTTCAGTATGTATGAGCATGAATCTCACTAATTTGTATAATTTGTATGATTTAATAATTCTAACAGTAGTAATCATAAATAAATATGAATGCAATAATGAACTACTAACTTTCTTTCTACCTCTTAGGAAAGGGCTATTGCCTATGATCCTCCCCAGTCTGTGAATGGAAATGCAGGGACAGTTGTTTCTTACTTATCAACCTGGGTGAATGTGTAGGAACCTGAACAGCACCATCCCCCTTCCCAAGTCAGAATACTCAGCTCAGTCATTATGTTTCTCAAGAAGGGTGATAATGATGTCTTGATGGGATTAGTTCTAGGCTTCAAGGTTCAAACATAATCATGGAATCTTGCATGCTGCTATTCATTATAACAATACTGTTATTGTCCATTTGTAAATTACCTGAAGGAGTAATCCCATGGAGGACTGTGCTGGCTGTAAAGTCAGTGCTAGTGGAATCAGAAAAGGGCAGTGGTGTAGAAGTTGAAGAAGGCAGTTTTTCTGCAATAGTGGAAACCAAAACATCAACATGGCTTGACTGTATTATAGAATGAGGACTGCTCGAGGTCACAGCTGAGTTGCCTTTTGAAATGCTGGTTGTGGCAAATGAGGCCAATTCTTCTGTTGGAGAAAGGGTTGTTGTGTCAATAAAAGTGGTTTCATCTGAAGGTAGTATATTAGTTCTTGGAACACGAGTACTTTTTGGTGAAGGAATCATAAAATTGGATTCTGAGAAGGATGTTGCCATAGTAGACTCTGCAGTAGCTGAAGAAGGAAGTAAGATGGTGACTGTTTCTACTGGAATTTCAGTAAACTTTGAAGATGCAGTCTGCAATGGGCTTGATATGTTCATAGCAGCAGTGACAGTAGTCTCAGACTTTGGCAAAATGAGAGTAGACACAGGAGCTGAAGGTCTGTTTGTTTGTAGGGACATGCTAGTGTCTCTCAATCCAGAAGTCAAATGGGAAAATTGCTCAGAATCAGATCTAGTAGTCTCTAAATAGGCAGGCAATGAAGTGGACATAGAAGTCACCCAAATGTAGGAAGAAGTATCCCTGGAAGATTCAGGGAGTGTTGGTACAGAAGATCTTAGCTCATGTCCTGTACTGACAGTCTTCATGCTGGTTACTTTGTATTTTGAAGAAGAATTAAATTTTTCTGTATCAGTAGTAACTTCAGGTAAGCCCAATATTTCAAGTGAGTTGCTACTCAAATTTGGAGGCAAACTTGTTCCAGTTTCCAAGCTTCTGTTCAGCGTGTCTGTTGTCTTGGAGAACTCAGAGGTGGCAAATGACATCTCAGGTAAAGAAGTAGAGATTGAACTCTGTGGTGATAGAGAGGAAGCAGAAGAAGGTAAAGTCTTTGTTGGTGATATCAACAAAGAAGAGGCAGTCCCATCTGGTGAAACAGGATCAGATGATACAGTGTTTTGGAACTGGGGTCCAGGAGTGGTTATGTCCACACTAGTTATTTCAGTTTTGGTGAACATATGAGATGTTTGTGAGGTCCTGATGTCCTTTGAAGTGACTAATTCACTGTTTCTCCAGCTTGGAAACAATGTTGTAAGAGAAGCTAAGTTTGTGTCTTTTGTAGTTGTTTCCTTAGAAGAGAATGTAGAGGCCACTGAAGCAGGAGAGGAGAGACTTTGTCTTTCTGATGTGGAAGTAGCAGGAAAATGTGATGTTGTCTGATGCAGTTCTTCAGAATTCACAGAGGAGGTTGCTTCATGGGATGGGGAGTCAGTCCATGACAGTGACTCAGAACTGCTGGGAAGAAGCATCGAGTCTGGATGGAGAACAGTCTGAGTTACAGTTGAAAGGACCTGAGTACCAGCAGTAGTGCCTGAGGTATTCCAGAGAGTAGTGATTTTGGATGATTCTGTAGCATTAATTACTTGACTGATGTCAATGTTTGGGACAGAAAGTGTAGAGATATTGGGAGTATTTCCCATGGAGATGTCTGTTGTCTTTGTGAAGGATGCAGAGCTTGAAACAGATAGTCTATCAGTTGAGTTAGCTTCTGTTCTTGAAAGCCCAGTGGAGATCCTAGTGGGCACTGTGAAAAGATCAGAACTAGATTTTGTCATCAAGTTAATATCTTCAGGCATGGTGAATTCTTGTTTTACTGAAGTTAGGGGAAAAGCTTTCTGAGTTTCACTGTGTGCAGATTCAGATAAGAATGTCGGTGTGGAAAGTGTTACATCCCCATTGTTTTGTGAGGTCATAATTATAGTTGTTATTCTTGATAGGAATGAATTATCTAGGATAGTACCTTGAGAATGCACTCTGGGACTATTAGTTTCTACTCTGCTTGCTGGGGTTTTTGAGAAAATGTGACTTGTCTTTAGGTTTCTTATGTCATATGAAGGACTGGGAGTTGAAAGCCCTGTGGCATCTCCACCTCGGATTGAGATGCTCTCAGAAACTACATTTTTGTCTTTTCCAGTTGAGGTTGTGTCTTGAATAGAAGTTACAAGTGCAGACAGAAAATCAAGGGAAGAGACATTTTGTGCTTGTGATGTAGAGGTAACTGGTGAAGGTGTGGTTTTCTCAGTCACAATAGATGTTGAATCTGAAGAGGTGTGTTTTTCCTTGGGTAAAGAACTTACATGTGACTGTTCCGCAGAACTGTTGGGCTCAGATATCAATGCTAAATGTGGAGGTGTTTGATGTTCTGGTGAAGCAAATTCTGTCATAGTAATAGTGGTTGCAGTGTCTCTGGACAGTTTTTCATATAATAAAGACCCAGAATTACCTGCCTCAAAGATGGTGTTTAAGTCTTCTTTCATGCGTCTGGGAATGCTTCCAGTGGTGATGTCTTCTGATGCTGAGAAATAAGGAGGGTTTTTTGTGGAGATTCTGTCAGTTGCTGTGGATTCTGAAATGGAGAGGCCAGTAGTCATGCTTGGGGGCAACTGAGAAAAAACAGTATTGTGTGTTGTAGCAATGGTAGTCTCTTCAAGAATGATAGTTTGTGGAAGAGATTGGCTCAGGGAAGAAACTGTGTGAGTCATAATTCCAGAGGCATCAGAATATGTTGCCTGTGAAACAGAAACTGTAGTATCTGCCAATGGATGCTGGAACATTGTTGAAAATGCAGTTTTAGATGAAACTGATGCAGGAATGATAGAGGATTTGGATTTGGGTATGGGAGTGCTGGCTTCCATAATTGCTTCTGCTTTAAAAGAGGAAGCAGAGCTTGTCTGTGAGAATTTGGTGACCTGTGAAGTCTCTTGGCTTGAGTGTATACTACTGCTCCAATCTGGAAATGAAGTAGATAAATCATGTATACCCAACTCAGTTGTGATTGCCTCCCTAGAGGTAGTGAAGGCAGAAACCACAGAACTAGGAGATGGGGTGCTGTGTTCTACTGTTGATAAAACAGGGGAAGGTAAAGCAGGCCTATGAAGATATCCTGGAGAAATGGAAAGTTGGCTTTCTTTCCAAGCTGGAAAACTTGCAATTGATGGAACTTCATAACTTTGGCTTAGAAACGTAGATGTCTCTGTGACTAGCGGAGTTGGACTGAAACTAGTGAGATTGCCAGACACTGACAACATTGGTGATGCTTCTAAGGAGAGGACCATATTTGATGTTACTTTAGAATCCCCAATCTTGCTGATAGATAGTTCTTCTGATTCTGTAATGTTGGATCCATAGAGTCTGGTCGTTCCACTGGATGTATCATCTGGTGTAAATTGCTGAAGTGTTGGAAGTGTTGTGTTATCAGGAGACATCGATACTGTTCTGGATACAGGAAGAGAGGAACTGTAAGACATTTGAGAATGACTACTAGTGAAATCTGTGCTTGAGTATACTTCAGGTATATTAGCTTGTGTCAGTGTGGTCAGGGGGGTAAATGTCTGTGTCCCAATATTTTCATAATCTAATGATGCTGATTGTGTAGGTGAAGGAGTGGATACTTGTGTGGTGGGAAGGGTAGTGGGGAAAGCTGCTTTATTCTCAGATGACACTGAAGTAGGTATGATGGTGTATTTAAATTGGGGTCCAGAACTTCTGGCTTCCATTTTTGACCCTGGTGTGATTGAGGACAATTTATTCATCTGTGAGGTTTGGGAATAATGTCCAATGTTGGACCTAGGCTGAGAGATGCTGCTCCAGCTTGGAATGTAAGCAGTCACAGGATCTGAACTTGTGTGTGAAGCTGTTGGGAATAGATCCCTGGTAACTGGGAAAACAGAAGCAACAGACTCAGGAGAATGACTACTGTGTCTCTCTGTCAAGGAAGCATCAGGTGCCAGTGAAACTGACCCTGATGGTGTGGAATTTGCAGACATGGATCCTTTCCCAGGAGTAAGTGTCCATGAGGCTGAAGAGGGACTGTTGAAAGGAACCATGGGTTCTGAACCTGGAAATGTATGCATCCCACTGGAGTGGATGTCCTTGACTGAGATAGTACTGGATGTGTCTGGGGAAGTCACAACAGCTGATGTAACTGGAGAATGTCCCATGGGTATTGCCATCTCTTCTGTTTCTGCACTGATGGTAGAGGTAGGGAGACTGGTGGAGGTTCCAGTGGAAGTATCTTCTGATGTTGACTGATTAGGGGCTGACAGGGATGTGCTGTCAGCAGATGTGGTACTTGTCCTAGATTCAAAAATTGAAGGGATAGTAAGTAGTTCTCTATGTCTAGGACTGTGTTTTGTGGTTGAATTTATGTCTTCAGATGTACTGAAATCTGTCAGTGCTGTCCTTGAGGAAGAAACCGTGCCTGTCTCAATCTTTGTACTTTCAGATGAGATTGGCTGTGAGGGTGAATATCTGGTATGTTCCATGGTGGACAGAATGGTTGTGAAAGATTCCTTTTCAGGTAAGACTGATGTAGGTATGATGATGGGTTGGTTGTGGGTTGTGTAAGTCCCATCTTCCATACTGTTTTCTGGTGTGAGTGAGGAAACAGAGGTTGTCTGTGAGATTTTGGAGAGTTGGGTATTGTTGGAGCTTGGTATTGAAAGAGTCACAGATCCTGAGGTTGTAAGTAATCTGGTAGGGATTGGGTCCTTAGCAACTGTAAAGACAGAGGTGACAGAAGCAGGAGAACTGACACTATATTTGTCTCCATTGGCAGGAACTGAAGAATGTGAGGGTGCCTCAGGTATGGGTCTTGTTGAACTTGCAGACCTGGACTCCTTCCAAGTTGAATGAGTCCATGATGGGGATGGAGGACTGGCAGAATGGCCTATAGATTCTGAAAGTAGAAATGCCTGTGTCCCAGGGTGCTGGGTCTCTCTGTTTGAAGCAGTGGTTGATATGCTTTCAGAAGTCACCACATTTGATGTCATTACCAGATTTCCTCTGTGGGTGGCTACTGTCTCTTCTGACTCTGTGGTAGTTGTAGGTCTAGGGAACCTGGTGGAAGTTCCAGTAGAAGTGCCTTCTGATGTTGAATGATGAAACATTGAGATGGATGTGCTTTGCTCAAACACAGCTGCTGTCTGGGGCTCAAGAAGAGAAGAGATAGTGTGCACTTCGTTGTGGCCAGGATTCTTCTCTGTGATTGAATACACCTCTTCATATGTGCGGTGCTTTTCCTGTGCTTTGGTCAATGAGTTAGTTCTCTGTGTCAAAATATCATTTTCAGATGGGGATAACTGTGAAGTAGGAAGTGTGGTTCCTTCTAAGGAGGGTAGGATAGTGACTAAAAGCTCATTTTCAGATAAGACTGCTGTAGGTGTGTTGATATGTTTCTGTTGGTGAAGGGTACTGCTGTCTTCCACAATGGACTTTGTTGTAACTGAGGAAACAGAGGTGGTTTGTGAGATTTTGGAGATGAGTGCAGTATAGAAGTTTGTCTGAAAGCTCCGGCTCAAACTGTGATTAGAGGAACTCACAGGTCCTGAGATAGGAGAGAGGCCTTTTGAGATTGGATTCTTGGCAACTGTGGAAACAGAGGCATCAGAATTGGGAGAGTAACTTCTGTGACTCTCTGGCAAGGAAGCATCAGGGGCCCGTGAAACCACCACTGGTGTTGTTGTGGAATTTGCAGACAAGGATCCTTTCCCAGAAGTAAGTGTCCATGAGGCTGAAGCAGGACTATTGAAAGGAACCATGGATTCTGAACCTGGAAATGTATGCATCCCACTGGAGTGGATGTCCTTGACTGAGGTAGTACTGGATGTGTCTGGGTAAGTCAAAATATCTGATGTAACTGGAGAATGTCCCATGGGTATTGCCATCTCTTCTATTTCTGCACTGATGGTAGAGGTAGGGAGACTGGTGGAGATTCCAGTGGAAGTATCTTCTGATGTTGACTGATTAGGGGTTGACAAGGATGTGCTGTCAGCAGATGTGGTACTTGTCCTAGATTCAAAAATTGAAGGGATAGTAAGTGGTTCTCTATGTCTAGGACTGTGTTTTGTGGTTGAATTTATGTCTTCAGATGTACTGAAATCTGTCAATGCTGTCCTTGAGGAAGAAACCGTGCCTGTCTCAATCTTTGTACTTTCAGATGAGATTGGCTGTGAGGGTGAGTGTCTGGTATGTTCTATGGTGGACAGAATGGTTGTGAAAGATTCCTTTTCAGGTAAGACTGATGTAGGTATGATGATGGGTTGGTTGTGGGTTGTGTAAGTCCCATCTTCCATACTGTTTTCTGGTGTGAGTGAGGAAACAGAGGTTGTCTGTGAGATTTTGGAGAGTTGGGCATTGTTGGAGCTTGGTTTTGAAAGAGTCACAGATCCTGAGGTTGTAAGTAATCTGGTAGGGATTGGGTCCTTAGAAACTGTGAAGACAGAGGTGACAGAAACAGGAGATACAATGACAGAATTATTAAAGGACACTTTAGTAGGACTAGGATTATGTTCTGTGGTTGAAATCACTTCAGGCATGTGAGTTTCCACCATAGTAACAGTTGTGGATGTGTCTGACAGCAGAGTACTATTTAATTGAGCCACATTATGTGTGTCAATACTTGTAGAATTAGATGAATTCACTGAAATAGAAACAGTGCTTTTTCCAGTGGCTTCAGGGATCAAGGCAGATAATGTGATTTTAGGTACAACTGATTCAGATGATATATGGGGAGCAGAACTGGTGGCCTCCATGATGTTCACTGCTTTCTGTGAGTTTCTTGTGCCTTTCAGAGTGGACAAGTTTGAAGGAATGCTACTTCTCCAATATAAAGTTGAAGTGGTCACTGCTGTGCTTGTGTCCCAAATTCTTGTGCTTGTCTTCGGTGTTGCTCTGAGCACTGAAGCCATAGATCCAGTAGAACTATGTGGTTCTTGTAATGTTGATGCTATATAAGAAGGCAAGGTTGGTTTGGGTTTATTTGACACAGTAATCTCTTGATAAATAATAGATAAGTATAAAAGGGTGATCTAATAATACCCCCAGGAACAGCCTTGCATACATTCTTACATACCTATAAGGTGATTAGAATCACATTTTGATTGACATCTGCATTAATCATATCTTTTTACATTCATTTAGTGAGAGAAATTTTATTCTAAAATATATTTATGTTGTTCCAGGATAAAACATTTCTCACTTAGTATTCACATGTCTACACAAACATGTGTAAAAATAATCATTGCATAAATTATATTATTTCTCAGGTGAAATTATAGGAAATATAGCTTAAAAATAAAACCTAGGGTTTTATAAATATAAAAATGAGTCATATTAGGTCAAAATTGCAGGTAATAAATGACTATGCAATGTTCAGTCCTAAATCATACTCCCTGTCTCTAATGTCCAGGGAGCCTCCTAGAAAAGGAAGTAGAAATTCTATAAGAACCCAGGTCTGTAAAACAATGTCTTCTGGCTCTTCTCTTCTCTGTGGAGATGCTGAGCAGTCGACATGTAGGATGCCAGAGGAGTAACATGTCCCTGGACCTTTCTCCGGTAAGAGAAGACCCCATGGGAATACTTAGATTAATAGAAATGGGTTAATAATTAAAATAGAGCTAGCCAATAAGAAACCCTAGTCACCAGCCAACAATTTCATAATTAATATAGCGTCTGAATGAATCTTTGAGGCAGTGAAGGGCCGCAGGACCTGTCAGGCAAGAAAACTCATGTTACAAAATGGTGCCAGCAATATGCAGCATGAATTTCCACATAGAATGACAAAAGCTTAAAAGGGATTTTAGAAACAAAAGAACAGAGACAAGCATAGCTTCATGGTAGCAGCATTTTCTCAGGTAGGCTCTGTTTTGCTAAAGGGAAGCAGAGACTCATGTGGCTCCTTTAAGGGAGGTTTCCTGACTAAGCATAAACAGAAAAACCACAGGGATCTTTTAAGAGACCATGCTAAGAATTGAATGGTGTGTACAAGCAGCTGGCCATGGCAGTGAACACATCTCCAAGCTGGCAGCATGCTGCTTAATGACAGCATAGACCAAGGTGGTGAGCACAGCTCTCAGTGCTGGCAGTAAACTTATCCCTGCCATCTTCGAAAGACAGTGGCTAAAACAGCCACAGCTTAAATTTTAACAATGTTGTTTAGCAAATAAAAGACTTGTGGCCAGAAAAAGATAAACATATACAGTAAAGACAGATTCAAATGAATAAAAACCTCTAAAAGTTTACAGTGTGTTTAAAAATGTACATAGGCTTGGGAGAGAAAAGAAAAGGGGGAAAGAAATAGTGTAGCGGGGTGTGGTGGCACATGCCTTTAATCCCAGCACTTGGGAGGCAAAGGCAAGCAAATCTCTCTGATTTCAAGGTCAGTCTGGTATATGATGGAAAATACACAGAGTCTAGATACTGTATGCTATTGTGTTATCTTTGAATTGTTTGACTGCTAAGGAAATAGCAATAACTACTAAAAGAAATGCTGCTAGATTAATCCAATTTACATAATTTGAAAATGCTTTGACTTCTGAACTTAAGTATAAGGACATGTTACTTGGGAAAAGAGGTTCTTTTCTTGTTTCCACAGAAGATGAAAAGCTGTGGATTCCTTCTAGACTAATATGGTTTGATGAAGTAAGACCCTGAAGCAGTGGCCCAGGTGATAGAACATTCAAAACAGCTGAGACAATACAGCCTTACAGACTACAACAGCCAGGATTTGGACAGGTTTCTAGGTCTTCTTAGGATTCCCAAAACAGTGACTTCAAACAGCAGGAAGCAGTTTGGAGAGAATGATGCCCACATTCCCAAATGTTGTTTATAAATGTTTGTTTTCATTTAAATAAGGTTGGTTATAAGTAGTTAATGATCACAACCAAACTTTTTATATAAAAGGAGGAGGGAATATGATATAGAAATGAATACTTTGAATTGGTATGGATTTTGACTTATTGATATAAATTGAAGGTCAATTTTGTTATTTGTATATTTCTCCTCTTATTTAGTTAGTGTGTTAATACAGCTCATTTAAAAATGTAATATATAATTAAGTACAGATTACATATAGATAGTTACCTATAATAATCAAAACTTATATTAGTTAGGTTTTCTAGATATACAGAAATATATATGAGATGGATAGATATTCTTCAAACCTTTCAAAGACCTACAAAATATGGCATTTAAAATGGTTTAGGGTTTTCATTAGAGTGAGATACAACTGCCCCTGGCAACACCAATTATGTTTAGAAAGCAGATGGGCATCGAAGAAACTCTTTATGGAGTTTGCTTTCTGTATGGCAAGACAACCATTTCCACAAGAAACCACTCTTGCTTGACTGTTTGATAGACTGGACATGAAGAACACACAGGAAAGTGACTGCTGAATTTGCAAAACAAAACAGTCCTGAGGGGTTCCTGCTTCATGGAAGAGTCTGCCAGACATTTTGCAAGACACAGAAAAATGACTGACAAATTACCAATGCAGGCAGACAGTTTCAAATTTACTACTTCACTGAGAAGTCTGCCAGACACATTATGGCCTATGGGCTGAAGATGGATGCTCCAACATTACAGAGGAACTTTGGTAGACTGACCAGGTAGCAACATGTCTCTGTCAGTTCTAGAGTTTATATACTATACTTCTGTGGTCTTTGATGGAGTTAAAGGCAGATAGCTATAGTTATTTTTTTGTAGTTATGATAAAAGATAAGTTACATATAAGACTTTAGACTCACAAAGATAGGATAGATAATAGAATATTTTCTTTAAATTTTGCTAAATGTTAATGGACTGCATATTGTTAACTATAGTTCTTATTTGATATCTGCTTTGTTATATATAATTTTACTATGTTAAAGTTAAAACCCTTCTTTTTATTTAGACAGAAAAGAGGACATGATGAGGAATGTTTTCCTGTGTATATGTTTGTCTTATTTGTTGATGAATAAAACACTGATTGGCCAGGCAGGATGATAGGCAGGACTAGGAGACAAGGGAGATTCTTGGAAGTGTAGGCAGAGAATAGTTGTCATGTTATCCCAGGAAGTAATGTAGCTGGGCAGAAACTGTCACTAGCTAAGCATAGAGGTCTGGAGGTATGTACAGACAGGCAGGAAGTGACATAGCTGGGCAGAATTAGAACATAAGCAGGAACAAACAAGTAATCGTTCTGTTCTCTTCTCTGCAGAGACACTGAGTGGTCGACATTTAGGAATGCTAAATGAGTAAGGTCCCAGGACCTTTCTCCAGTAAGAAAAGACCACGTGGGGATACTGAGATTAATAGAAGTGGGTTAATAATTAAGACAGAGCTAGCTAATAAGAAACTCTAGTCACTGGCCAACAGTTTCATAATATAAAACAAAACAAAACAAAACAAAACAAAAATGTCTTTTGAACATAATGGGATTGCTCTCACGAACTCATAGCTTTTCTAATGGTCTATATAATATCTGCTTAAGATCAACTCATTTAACATTCCTGCATGGGTGAGAGAGCACACGAGTTATTGCCAGTTGATTGTGAATGGATAAGACTCAGCCAGTTCTCTCCAGATACACCGTCCGTGGTAGATTGCCCATGTCCCAATGGATGATTCGCCCTGCAGCCTTACACATATAGCCAGGATTAATTAGAGTCAATATGTTATTCAAAAAAGAAGAAGCACAAGAAGGAGAAGGAGGAGGAGGAGAGGGGGCTGGAGACATGGCTCAACAGTTAAAGGTACCTGCTACCATGTCTGATAATCTGAGTTTGATTCCTAGGATGCACATTGTGGAAGGAAAGAACTGACTCCTGAAAATTGTTCCCTGACTGCCACCTGTACACTGGGACACACACACACACACACACACACACACACACACACACACACACACACTAAAATAAATAATACAAGTATAATAGTATAATACAAAATGATTATTTACAGAATGACAAGACATGAAGTTAGGAGGAGAACATGTTGGAAAACTCTGGGAAGAGTTGGAGGCAGAAGTGAAGGATAAATATTATAAAAACATATTGCATATATGTATGAAATTTTCAAGTAGTAAATACATTTTTTAAAAATGAGCCAGTTTGTCAGGAGCTAGCTCTGGTCAGATATAAAAAGTCCTTCTTTACAGAGGCTGGCGACCTCCATGCTAAACCGCCAGTTAGTCAAGCACCTCACCCCTTAGGTTAGTGTTTGAGGTAACCACAGGAGGTTCTGGACACCTGCCCTGGCCTGAGAGCAATTAACATTCATTCCTCCCCCCACTTCCTCTTTCTCTGCTTCCTCCTTTCTCTTTAAAAACCCCTTGTTATCAATAAAATTTAGACCTTGACAAGGACACTGCTTGGTCTTGCTTCTTCTTTCTCGCCCATTATTTTCAGGCCTGGTCCACCTCTGACCCACGAATTACCGGAGCCCTGCTGGCCGGGGCACCAATTTAAAGAAGTATCAATTTGTAATGGGTTGAATATACAATAGGAAAATTTATATAATGCCACACAAATGCCTGAAATTTTTATTATACTTTGAATGTTTATTTATATAGTTAATTCCCTCACAAAAAAGAAGAAAGAGAAAAGGAAAAAGAAAATTATCTGTGGATGAGAGATAACTTAGTGCCTGCCTGCTTATAATTCCATGCCCAGAATCCATAGAAACATCTGACCTGAACAAAGGGGAGCTCATGGACCCCAGACTGATAGCTGAGAAACTAGCATAGGACAGAACCAGGCCCCCTGAACATGGGTGTCAGTTAGGAGACCTGGGCAGTCTATGGTGCCTCTGGTAATGGAACAGTATTTATCTCTAGTTTATAAAAGGACATTGGGAGCCCATTCCCCATAGAGGGATACTCTCTCAGCCTAGACACATGGAGGAGGACCTAGGCCCTGACCCAAATGATGTGACAGACTTTGATGATGCCCCATGGAAGGCCTCACCCTTTCTGTGGAACAGAGGCGGATGGGATGGGGGTCGATGGGGCGCATGGGAAGATGGAAGAGAGAGGGATTTGGGTTGATACGTAAAATAAGATTGTTTATAATTTAAATAAAAAAATAAATTAAGAAAAAATCCCTCCCCAGAAGGTGGAGATGCGGGTCCTCAGAGAAAGCTTGTGAGGAAGACTAGCCAAATTGCAGATCTCTGGGTTTGATTGAGAGAGTTTCCCAATGAACAAGGTGGTAAGGGGATTGAAAACTATTGCTGACATCAACCTCAGACCTCCACATGCACATACACACACATGTACCAAACAAGTATATACATGCTTACACACACCATGTATACATGAATACAACCACACATGCAAAGTAGAAAAAGAGGGAGAAAACCTATTATATAGAGCTGGAACAATATCTCAGTGGGTAAAAGCAGTTGCTACAAAAGCATGAGGACCTATTTAGATTCCAACAACCATGTAAAACGGCAGGTGACATGACTATATCTGTAATCATAGAGCTACACAGAATGGGGAGACAAGCAGGTTCACTGGAGATTGCTGGCCACCAGCCTAGCTCATGTTTCAGTAAGAGGCCCCATCTCATGGGAATAAGGTAGGAAGTAATAAAGCATCTTCCTGTGGTCAATTTTTGGGTCTGCAACACACATTTGTAAGCACCACAGGCATAAACATAATACATGACTAAATTGCCCACATATTCCTAAGGTATTGTTTCCTGTACTACAAGAAAGCATTTCTGTTGGAAGTTATCGCTGTGAAAAATCTGATGTGTCCTAGCTCACCATACTAATTGGTCAGACCCTCTCCAATTGCCAAACTCTCATAATCTCCATTCCCTTCTCTCTACTGCTATAAATTTCACTTTAAACATCCCACATATAATTTAAAATAATTAATAATGCATTATTTATATTTCTGTGCCTGTTTTCCTCTTCACATTATGTCTTCCATGTCCATCATGTTATTACAGCTTACATAACTTCCTACCCTTTCTTTCCTTTATTCCCAGGCTTCCTGTCTAACTTTGATAGTTCCTCCTTTGCTTTCTTCTCTGTCTTCTTTTCCATACTTCTCTCTTCTTTTCTCTTCTTCTGTTTCTCATTCCCACCCTTTTCTTTGTCTTTTTTCTTTCATGGA